TAAGTGAGAAATGTTTAGATTTCTGAGTGAGTGAGAAATGTTTAGATTTCTGCAGGACCAAAAGCAGACGTCTAATGTTTAGATTTCTGAGTGAGTGAGAAATGTTTAGATTTCTGCAGGAGCAAAAGCAGAAGTCTAAAGCAGGACAGAGAAAACACTTAATATTTTGCTTTTGCTGTTCGTAACCTGCCTACATTAGAGGTTCTTTAGGCAGGAAAAAAGCAGGCAGTTTTCTGTTAATATACAGGGTGGCCAATACGATTTCAATGCTATATAAATTGAAGTTTCAAAGATATTTTTCAGACTTCCTCAGAAGTTGAATGATTGAATGTCTAATTCTTGTCAAACAAAAGCTTGCTTGCTTTTTAAAAAATAAAATAAAATCAATCATGCAGCTCATCAAATGCAGTCACTGAGACTCAACCGAAATAAGAGAGCGTCTCAACAATACTGACCAAGTACAAAGACTGATTGTTAAAAACTATGAAAACAGATGTGGAGAACTCTTACGATGTACAGTAGTGACTGGTTAGAGCTGTGATTCTTAGACTTTGGTGCTCAAGCAGTTTGGATTTCAGAAGCGACAACAGGGCCAATGGTAAGGCATTATGGGAGTTGAAATACAAAATATCCGATATATGCCTCTCCCTCTTTTTATGTTCTTAAGTTTTTATGTTTTAGACTTTTATCTTCTAGGCATTCATTTTATATTACTGGTATGAATTTGCCAGTTAATATATGTTTACTATTACAGTATATGTAATTTTAAGGGGGGGTTAAATTGTTTTATTATGTTATTACTGTATTGCTTTGGATTTGTTTTATATGCAATTGTTGTGAGCTGCCTTGATTGCCCAAAAGCAAAAGATGGGGTACAAAAAATAAAATTATTATTATTATTAAAATATCTGGAGGGCCAAAGGTTAAGAACCACAGGATTTAGAGTGTCAGATGAGGACCAGGTTCCTAGCTGTGCTCAGCTACGAAGTTCAGTGGGCGCCATTAGGCTAGTCACTGTCACTCAGCATTAGTTACCTCACAGGACTGTTAACTAATAAGAAGGGGAGAAACCGCCCCCGTAGCCTTGAGCTTTTGCTCAACAGTCACCATTCTTCCTATATTTTTTTCTTCTTCCTATATTTTTTTTTTTTTTTTTTTACTTTCCTGAATGCTGAAAAAGTTCTGTTTTGGAAATGTATTATTGTAATTACTAACAAAACACACACACACACACACACATGCACAAAGAGTTTACTGAGTTGGATTCAGATGTAGCCACACTTGGGGGAAGTTCCTTTGATTTCAATGGCCCTGCTTTGTTGATCTAATCCATTGTGGCCTGGAGTCTGTTATTCATCCCAACCAGAGCAGACCCACTGAATCAGTAGAAGTTGCATATGTGTTCACTCACCTTTTCACAATTGATTCAATTGTCAGGAATACTCTTGTCAGGATGAACCAATGGGATTTAAACCTGTATTGGTTAGGAAACCCAACAAGGCTCTTTGTTCTTAACTCAGGCTGTGGAACTCTCCCCCTTTTCACTTCAGAGATTTATTCTGTTACCTCTTTTCTGGCTTCTTTGTTGCCCAAGGTATCAATTTTGCTGGCTGCTTTCAGCGTAAGCAGTCTTGCCTGTTCAATAGCAATGCGGCATTCAGCAATCCAGTGAGCAACAACTTCCTGTAGGAGCATAAAGAGAAGGAGGAAAAAGATGGAAAAGAGAATGGAAACCATCCTGTTATGGTAACGTAGTCATGGATTTAAATAAGGACCATAATCCTTCATTAATGCTTTAAACTACTTTGGAAAAAAATCACATGCATAAATTGATATGTAAAAAATTAGCACTTTTTACTTTTGCTGAAGACAAATAAAGAGGATTGGGAGGGGTGTTAGAGTGCAAATTGCAGCTCCTGTGGGGCTCCAGAACCAGCAACCCAATATTTGCAGCACTTTAAAAACAATGTTTTTGTATAATTTTGGGCCCAAGAAATTGTGGTGAGGGCTTGGAGCACAAGAGCAATCTGGGGGCCACAAAACACCCTTGGTAGGTCACATACAGTGTGTGGGCCATACTGTCCTCATCCTTGAGACAGATATAGATAACAAGTAAACTTTCCCATTTCTGAAAGTTTCCCATCTAATGCATAAACACAATCTGTACTATGGTACTGGAACCTAAGCATTCCTCTTTCTCCTGAATCTGACCTTAAGGGCATAGAAAATCACAGAGACTGGAGCTCACATGATTGTACAATTTCTTCCCAAATGTCATTCTCTGGGCTGCGCGTTCACACAGGATTTTCAATGCAGCTTCAGCGGCTCCTATTGACCTCATACAATGGTGGATGCGGCCGGGTCCAAGTCTTCCCTGAGCGATTTCAAATCCTCTTCCTTCTCCTGTGTAATGGAAAGTGAGAGGCAGGATCTTCCAGATTTGCTACTTGCCTTTCTGGGGAATCATCTACATGATTGCAGGTAATACCTGTAAATAGCTGACACAGGACCTTGGACAATTTCACCAGGGAAATGCAGGAAAACAAAAAGATGCCTTATATAGCAGGCCTGACAGGTTGTCTCCCTGTCCTGGTATTGTACTTTAGGACCAGCAGCTGTTTTCAGGCAGAAAGTCCTTCCCATCACTGGCTACCTGGTTCTTTTTGATGGATAAGGGAGGCACTGAACCAAGAACCTTCTGCATCAGACCATGTGTTCTTGAAAGGGAAGGTTTGGGGTAAATGAACCTTACTTTCTCCAGAGTAATTGTGAAAGAAAATAAGGTAATCCCAGGAAATGTTCCCAAGCTCCCTAGAGAAAAGCAATATCATAAGAAAGCATATTTGGCAAAATATGCTATTCCAAGCTTCTGGAATCTACTTTGTATTCATCAAAAAGTCAGGATCCAAAAGTGAGAATTAAGCTATTCTGGGTTGGTAAAATGGTTCTCAATGGAGCCCACAGTCCTCCACTAAAACAGCTACTCCCAATTACCCCCCATACTGAAAGGAACAATGTGTTTAGTTGTAGGGGGCATAGCATGTAACATGTAATTAAACTGTACCTCTGTTTAAATCACAAACAGGTACACAAGATCCCACTCTGTATCCAGTCACTGTGCACAAGCAAGGGAAACTAAATCTTTGTACCAATGTTATCCCCATACTGATAAATAAAGAAGAAATTCTATTGGTGCCAATGTTGTTTTTTATTCTTCCTTGGTGAGGAGGATGAGTTTAAGGGAGGAAATCACCTGGGAGGAGACCTTTAAGCCCATTCCAAATACCCATACAGAATGGACTTGATGAGCCTAGGGCCCCTAGTTTAGCTGTAATTATATTTATATCCCAGTGAAATTTATCTGCAGACTGAATTAGAATACATGTCCCATTCAAAGTCTTGAACTGTCTGACAGAACTGAAGATTTGAACCTGGCTAAGTTCCTCTTGCCAACAAATGTTCACAAAACTTCCCAGGCTCTCGTCAAGAAAAAAGAAAATACTGAGACTCACCCAGTATCAAATGGGAAGCAGGCACGCAAACATTGTTAAAATGGATTTCAAAATGTCCCCCATGGAAATAATCTAGAAAACCAAGAAAATAACAAATGTGAAGGTCAATGGAGAGAAATTCTGCTAGTGTCAATATTTATCAAGAGTACCAGATCTGTGTCATTCTTTTTGTATCCAGAAAGTACCGCAAACAGCCCTCTTAAGGGCAAAGTACCCATTTAAAATAATAATGCTGATTAACATCTGTAGAGGAAATGAACAGCCCACACAGAAGAAATTATTACAAACAGACTTTCAGTACAGTTTTTGACCTTATGATAGGGATCAGGAGTGATTTACTCTTCATTCCTTTTCTCTTTCTCTTTCCTTTCCAAATTCGTGGGCCAGCAGAGGAGTGCAAATATGTACTGTGCACTGATTTTTATTTTTTTGGTCTTAAGAAACATGACATTCTTTTCCTCATTTCTCTTCTTGACTTCCTATCTCTGTCCCTGCCCCCAGCTCAGAGCAGTGCATCACCACCAAACTGGAAATCAGTTGCACAGGATTCACTTTTTCTTCACAACTGTATGTGGCTCTTCACATACAACTCTTACCCTCCATTTACTCTTTACAGACTGTCTTTGGAGACTGCAGAATTGCCTGAAAAAGATGCTGCTGTGCTGCTCTTTATGGCCAGTGTCGCAGGTCACTTCACTTGAGGTCAGAATGAGGCATCTAGCCTCCTGTAGAGTGAGTGTCACCTGATGCAGTCCACACTTTCCTGCAACCTCCCAGTGATGCCACTGCTGGCAAGTCAAGGTGCATAGTCAACAACATCAACTGTCTAATGGTATAATGGACCAGCTCTGAAATTTACCAGATTTAGCATTAATTTGCCAGGCTAAATTTTGAACATATGTTTAGCAACCCTACTTACCAAAGTATCCAAAAACTGAAAGAGGCCTTATGAGCTTGACCCCAGGTGTATCCATTGGCACAATTATCATACTGTGCTGTTTATATCTAATGGAAATAAAATAAGCTGAATCTCAGTCTTTAAAAAAATGTATGGAACATGATACATAGAAAATAGCCTCCTGGATGCTGTGCTGATTTCCAAACATTTATTGCCACTACCTTTTAATCAAAAGTTGCTCAGGCCTTTACTCAGGCAAGGTACTGAAAATGGTAAGGGGGTGTCTTGGTCAAGACTGTGTAGTTCATCCACTGCTGAATGACCAATGTGTAGCCAGTCGGGGTATTGTTGTCAGTGACAGGTGCATGGTTATGCCTGGGCTACCAGCACATGAGCCCCTGCACAGTACAGCAGAGCTTGGAAGTATTAACCTTTTGTACTGTTGTTGTGTGCCTTCATGCAATTTCTGACTCATGGTGACCCTAAGAAAACATGTCTCAGGGCTTTCTCAGAAAGATTTCCTCAGACAATGTTTGCTATTGCCTTCCACTAAAGCCAAGATAGAATGACTTGCCCATCCACCCATGGGTTTCCATGGCCAAAAAGGATTTGAACCCTGGTCTGCTGGAGTCCTAGTCCAGTACCCATACCACTAGACCACACTGGGACACAAACTTGGGGACAGACTCCCTCTATACTCTAGCTACAGTACAGAGCTGGATTGTACCATTCATATTTTTTGTTCAGCTAGCCAGTATATGATGGCATTTCATACAGGTTTTTGGCCAATGTAATCACCTCCTGGAGTTGGACAAGTGAGTTGGCCAAGGAATTCCAGGAGTACTAATTCAAAAGGGAACTTTTCAAAG